TCGGGACCCGCCGCCGAGCTGGCGTTGGCTGCAGGAGCGGAGGAGCCGGGGTGTGTGGAGAAGCCATGGGTGTCCGGAAAAGAATCTGGCTTGGGAATCGTCTCTCTCAACCCTTACAATTGGGCGACATGAAACATGGCTTTTCACCTCCCTGAACTCAGTTTACTCATCTGTAAAACGGGGCAGTGCAAACCCTAACTAGCATCTCTGTGTGGAGTTAGCAGGTGGCCAAGCTCACCGGCCCCAGTGCATCTGAGAAACATCCTGGGACCGAGGTGGGCCCAGCTCATGGTCATGGTTTCCAGGTAGACACTGCCCCGCCTGCCCACCCAGGTTCAGATTGCTCTCAGCTCTGTGAGAGGGAGATGGGAAGTTACCAGGTGAGGGGTGCTGGGGACAGCTGGCTCCCTCATCAACAGAGGCACACAATTCCCTCGCGACAAATCAAGCCTGGCTGGGCCCAGACAGGTCTCCCTACCAAGCCACGCTCGTCTCGGGGAGATTCCTGCTCACAACGCAGGTCCTGGCCTCCCTGTGCTCTGCCGGATCCTCTGTGTTTTTCTCCACCTGCGGTGTCTGTCCACCCCCAGCCGCCCAATCACCCCTGTTTTCATATCCAGCATTGGCTGAACTTCCACCCTGTGCCGGGCACTGTACTAACACTTTAAAGCATCTACCTTGTTTAGTTATCACAACTTGTAAACCCGACTGTTATCATTTCCATTTTACAGATGGGGCAGGTGAGGCTGAGTGCGGGTAACTGGCTCCTATGCTGAAGCTCTGCCCTCCGCTCCCTCTATGCACAGTTCAAAGGCCACCCCCTGTCGGAAGCAGGACATGGCCTGACCTTTTACTGAATAACCACTTCCTGGGCATGGCCCATTTCTTAGCACCCTGTGGTGGGCTCTGTGCCACTTCTCCTGCCCTCCCTCCTGGTTGCGAATGGGTTGGTGCCCCCGTAGCCCTGGCGCCGTGCTGAGTCCACAGCTCTCAGGAAGGGCACCTGGGGGAACAGGAAGAGCTTCAGAACTGCATCTTCAGGGACAGAGACCTCCCCCCCCCCAGCCACACTGTCTCCCCCCCCCCACCCCCCCCACACCCAACTGGGGAAAGAGATCAACCAAGACTTCTCTGCAGCCCAGTGAGTCCAGGGAGCCCCACTCGACACTTCCCGTCTGTCCATCCCTTCCCTTCCCTCCCCTCCCCTGCTGTCTCCTCTCCTGCCCCTCCCTGCAGGCTGGGCCCTTCCCTGGGGTCCATTTCTGATCTGCAATTGCACCTCTCCTGCCATCATCCTACAAAGCATATGTTTATATACCCCGTGTGCCTGCGACTTTCCTATCTCGATTTGCATATCATTTGCATGGCTGTGTGCAGGGAGGGTCTGACTGACTGCAGTACCTGGGACCTGGTTCTCTGGTCCACATGCAAAGTTATGCTGTGTCTCTGGGCCTGTGTTCCCCAGAAGCCAGGGGAGCACGTGCCTGATGATACCTCAGGGCCTTCCAGCTCCAGGGCCTAGGATTCTGGGGCCCGAGGGTGGGTCAGGAGCGGGGGAGCTCCGAGGACGGTGCCGTTGGGACAGAGATGGACACGGGAGGCTCCCAGTTGGAAGCACAGCCTTGGGTTTCAGCCATGGCATGTGGAAGGGTGGGAGGGGCCGGCGTGATCTCACCCTTTTCTTCCCTCATTCCATCCGCATTGGCTGTGCACTCCCCTCGAAGCCAGGAAGCTGCTACATGCTGGGCATCTTAGTCAGCACAGCTTTAGGAGGAAGGGATCTTTTTTTTTTTTAATCCTCATCTGAGGCTATTTTTCCATTGATTTTTAGAGAGTGGAAGAGAGAGGGAAAGAGAGAGAGAAACATTGACTGGTTGCCTCCATCATGCCCCTGACCAGGGCCTGGGCTTGGGAAGAGCCCATAACCTGGGCATGTGTCCTTGACCAGAATCGAACCTGGGAACCTTCGGTCCACAGGCTGACATTCTATCCACTGAGCCACACTGGCGAGGGCGGAAGGTATAATTTTTAGGCTCCTTCTATAGAGGAAACTAAGATTCATGGAGAGCAATGTAGATGGCAGAGGGGGAGGGATTTCAACCAGGCCTGCCCGACGCCAAAGCTAGTACTTATCCCGCCTCCGTGCCCGGCCTCAGTCTCCTCTCTCTTCTCCCTGCCATGACCTTGGAACTTAGGCATCATCCACACAAGGTCACAGGACAAGTCACACAGAGGAGGGACCCTTCCACTCTGCTCCTCCTCACCTGCTCCTCCCGGGGCCCAGAAAGGCGGTGGGCGCACAGTCTCTATGGGCATGGAGCAGCGGGGGCAATGTTGAGTCCTCCTCTCGCTGACTTGCTCAATGGTCATTGCAACGAGATGACCTGGGACAGGAACTCAAAAGACCCCCTTTACCCTCCCTCCTTCCCCACATTGAGTCCCCATGAATTCAGCTTTGTGGGTTCCGGGCAGATGAGAGGAGGTGGGGGAGGTGATAGTCCATGTCTGTGCTTCGTATGGGAGAGGAAAAACCAGGGGGAGAGAGAAGGGGTTGCCTGGGGTCAGACAGGAACATAAGGAAGACAGGCTGAAAGAAGAGGGACAGGAAATTTCAGAGCCTTTGGACATCAAGGAGGCCTATGCAAATAACATACAAATGACCTCTCCCTGGGCTGCTTCCCCTACCCTCTCAGTAGCTGGAGGACTTTTTCAGGGAGTAACCACAGTCTTATTCCAGGACGCTGTGGTCCCCAAACGGTGGTCAACGTGGACCCCTCCCAGTCCTGGGGTCTCCTTGGCTGCACCTCTAGGAAGTCACTAGCTCCAAGGCTCTCTGTCTAGAAACGCCCAGGAACCAGGCTTCCCCTTCCAGACACATTGCTGGGCATGGTCTATAGCCTGGGCATGGTCTATAGCCTGGGCATGGTCTACAGCCTGGGCATGGTCTACAGCCTGGGCCTGGTCTAAATAGCCTGGGCCTGGTCTACAGCCTGGACATGGTCTACAGCCTGGGCCTGGTCTAAATAGCCTGGGCCTGGTCTACAGCCTGGGCATTGTCTACAGCCTGGACATGGTCTACAGCCTGGACATGGTCTATAGCCTGGGCATGGTCTACAGCCTGGACATGGTCTATATAGCCTGAGCCTGGTCTAAATAGCCTAGGCATGGTCTATAGCCTGGGCATTGTCTCCAGCCTGGACATGGTCTATAGCCTGGGCATGGTCTATGTAGCCTGGGCCTGGTCTAAATAGCCTGGGCATGGTCTATATAGCCTGGGCATGGTCTATATAGCCTGGGCATGGTCTACAGCCTGGGCATGGTCTATATAGCCTGGGCATGGTCTACAGCCTGGGCCTGGTCTAAATAGCCTGGGCATGGTCTATAGCCTGGGCATTGTCTCCAGCCTGGACATGGTCTATAGCCTGGGCATGGTCTACAGCCTGGACATGGTCTATATAGCCTGGGCCTGGTCTACAGCCTGGGCATGGTCTATATAGCCTGGGCATGGTCTATAGCCTGGGCATGGTCTATATAGCCTGGGCCTGGTCTACAGCCTGGGCATGGTCGATATAGCCTGGGCATGGTCTACAGCCTGGGCATGGTCTATAGCCTGGGCATGGTCTATAGCCTGGGCATGGTCTATATAGCCTGGGCATGGTCTACAGCCTGGGCATGGTCTATAGCCTGGGCATGCTCTATATAGCCTGGGCATGGTCTATAGTCTGGGCATGGTCTATAGCCTGGGCATGGTCTACAGCCTGGGCATGGTCTATAGTCTGGGCATGGTCTAGCCTGGGTCTAGTCTACAGCGCCCCAGCCCTGTTTCCCCCTGAAGCAGAGAACAGAGGCCTTCTTGGCTGCAGGCCCTGCTGCGCATTCTCACTTCCTGCCCTGTCAGCGGGATTGAGCTGTCAGACCTGGGAAAAGGGCGGAGAGCGAGGCGCCCTGGAAGGCCACCAAGCAACAAGTCCCTTCTAGCTTCCTCCGCCTGCCAGACGGACTGCAGGGCCCGGAGCGTGGGGCTGCGTGGCGGGGTCAGCTCCCTGCCTTGGGGCCACCACAGGGATCGAATCCAAGCTCAGCTTCTCCAAAGAGCTGATGGGAACAAGGCAGAGGCCAGGAAGAACTCGGAGCCCTTTTTAAACATCACACCTCGGAGTCAAGGTGCCAGAGGAGGATTGCAGAATAGGGGTGTGTGTTGGGGGGGTGTCAGGGTGATGAAGCGAGAGATGCTCTGGGAATCATGATAAAGCGACTGTTTCTGGGGATTTGACTGGAGAGGACATTCACCCCCTGCCTCTGTGTCCCCGATGCTGAGCCACCCTGGACATCCTACTCCACCTGGGACCCAGCCTCCATCCACATCCAGGGGAGATACACACAAACTCATCACCCATTTTGCACTTGAAGTTTCCAAATAATAGAACATACTAAAAAGTATTTAATGTTAACACGGCATAACAACTGTTTTTATTTATTTACTTTAAAAAAATATTTTTTATTGATTTCAAGAGAGGAAGGGAGAGGGTGAGAGACAGAAATATCAATGATGAGAGAGAACCATTGATTGGCTGCCTCCTGCACGCTCCCTACTGGGGATCGAGCCCGCAACCCGGGCATGTGCCCTTGACCGGAATTGAACCCGGGACCCTTCAGTCCACAGGCCGACGCTCTATCCACTGAGACACACCAGCTAGAGCAACTGAGTTTTTAAATGTACATTTTTGAGCTCGGGGCCAGCATTGGGCGGTCTGGCCCCTCTAGTTGCACCTTCAGCAGAGCTATGCCTCAGTCAGGCCTACCTCAGACCAGGTAGGCCTCCAGGTTCACCCTTACGCTCAGGGCAAGTCTAAGTCCACGGCGCCCTCTTGTGGTGAGAGGGGTGTGAGCCTGCCGAGCCTCCTCCCTGCAGGTCTCTGGAGAGGGCTCAGGACCCCCAGCAGGGAGAGCCTGCCCAGGGCTGGGCGTGGGGGGGGGGGCGCTGGGGGGCCTGGGGGGGGGGTCACAGGAGAGGGCCCAGTGCCGGGCAGACGGAGACACTGAACTTTAGCTTCAGAATGCTGCTGGTTCTTCTAGTCCCTGCTCCCCAACGAAGGCCAGACTTTACCCTGGACCCCAGCGGGGTCAGCCAGCCTCTGCCCAGGCGACGAGTGGAAGGAGACCTGGCCTTCTGGGGTGTCCGCCCTGCTGCCGGTCCTCTCTGCAGCATCCGCGTACCCCACACGGAGGATGTCAGTGGCATTTGTCCTTCCAGCCACTCAGGGCCTGGATTGAGGACCCACTGCAGCTGCCATTGGGCGGGGAGCTGGGAAGGGATGGCAACCAGACACTCCCTGCCCCCAGGGAGCTCGCAGACCAGTGACAAGGCGAGTCCCTCACGTGCGGACGCCGCTAACAGGCCACGGGCATCGGGAAAGGCTGCTCAGAGGAAGGGCCTCTACGTGAGATGCCCCTGGGAGGGGGGTGGGCATAAGGAGCACAAACACGGCGCCCAGCAGGGCAGGCGGCCCTGACAGGCGGGCCAGCTCGCCAGGTCCAGTGACAGGCGGCTTGTTGCTGATCCCAGGGCTGGGCACCGCTGGCCGTGGGGGGCTCCAGCCAGAAGTCTCACTGGAAGGAACAGAGACAGACGGGACGACGGTAGCGACGGTAGGGAAGGCCTTGAGTTGAGATGTTTTACTTGTTTGTTTTAGTTGGGAGATTTAAATGCTTTCAGGCTGATGGGAAGAAGGTGGGAAAGAGAAGAGGAAGAGAGAAAGGGGAGGGGCTAGGACTCAGAGCAGAAGGGGCGGGTGCCGGGGGTCAGGGTCGGGGTGAAGGGACAGCCCCCCATCATGGCAGGAAGGAATTCGGAAAGACCGGTGTGGCTGCAGCTGGATGGAGATGTCTGCTGCCTTGTGATG